ATGATGGTCGGGGGAACAGGGCTGAGAAGACCGTGGTCTTATTCTTTTGCTGTGTTGCTTAGCAAAGTTTGGGCTGTAGGATAACTTGTCCTGGGCTAGGATTTCACCTAAAGATCACCTTGTCTCTGTAGGATGCTTGTGCTGAGCGAAATTGGGGCCTGGTTGTGTCGTGCACCCCTCCAACTGAGACTGGGGGCCCTCTCATGCCGGGCCCTGCACAGGACGCCCCCCCCACCCCACCCCCCAGCTGAGATTGGATGCTCCATCATGCCAGGACCTGCACAGATACCCGCCCGCCGCAGGGATCCGGGCCCTGCGTAGACCATCCTCCGTCTGAGATTGGGGGGTCCCTTCATGCTGGGTCTTGCATGGGGGGCTGCATCATGCCAGGCACTGCACAGACCCCACTCCAGCCGAAAGCTGGGCCCCATCATGCCAGGCGCTGCACACACACAGGGTGAGGGACTGGCCCTGCCCCAATGAGCTTTCAGTCTAGCCAGAGGGATTTAGATTGGAAATAAGGCTCAGGGAGATTCACCATTGGGACAAACCTCCAGGAGGTGGAATCTACATCTTGCGAAGTCACCAGATCCATCCTGGTGCCTCTGCTGTAGCCAAAGACAGCTGCTGGGCTCAGCACAGGGGTAAATGGGTGAAACTGAAGATCTTGGCCTACAGTAGGTCGGGCTAGAGGATTTAATGGTCCCTCCTGGTCTTAAACCCTGCTGCCCTATAAATAAAGGGACAAAGGCAGGATCGGTCCCTCGGGTTTATCACTGAGGGGACTGTGTCCCAGAAATGTGAAGTGACTTGTCTGCATGGAAAAGTTGTGCTGGTTTTGAAGCGAAGGTGTGAACGTAAGCCACTTGGGTTGAAAGCGCTGCCAAGGGGCGCTCCGGTTTTGGTGTAAAAGCGGCTTCTCTGGGGCTGGTTCAAGTCGGTTAGAGACAGATTTAAACTCGACTGAAATCAGATCATCCGTGCAGGGGTTCCCTGGGTCTTTAAAGAAAAAACAAAAAAGCGAGTTAAACCAGTTCAACTTTTCCAAGTAGACAAGGCCGAGCGATGCCAGAGCCCAAGCCCCCGAGTCCCGGTCTGTTATCTTCACCACAAGACCTTCCTTTTGCTTCTCTTTTTTTAGAAGGAATCTTATAAGTAGCCTGCAGAATAAGGCGGAGGAAAAACTTGCCCTTGCTCTTGTGATGATGATGCCTTTGCCCAGAAAGGTTTGCATTCAGAATTCTGGCAGAGAACGAATAAGTTTATGACTGGGCATGAGCTGCTTGAGAGTGGGACTGTCATCTTGTTCTGCGTTTGTACAGTGCCTAGCCCAGTGCGGCCTAGTGGTCTCGGGAGGCCTGGGTTCTATTCCTAGCTCTGCCACTGGCCTGCTGGGGGCCCTTGGGCGAGTCACTCACCCCACTCTGTGCCTCGGTTTCTCCATCAGTGAAACAAGGATGACAGTGACCTTCTTTGAGATCTGTTTGTGAGACGTGCTAGACGAGAGCTCGGGATTGTAGTTTTGCATTTATTACAAAGTGCTGCCGACGAGGTGGAATTCCATGGCAGCTACCAAGGAACAAGGCTGGGATGGCAGGGAGTGGAGGATTCTGTTCTGTTAGAATGGGGGAGGAGGGGCAGGAAGCCAGGACTCCTGGGTTCTGTGCCTAGCTCTAAGAGAGGAGTAGTGTCTAGGGTTTGGAGCAGTGGGGGCAAGGGACTCCTGGGTTCTGTGCCTAGCTCTAAGGGGGCAGTGGTGTCTAGTGTTTGGAGCAGTGGAGGTCGGGGCTAGAAGCTAGAACTCCTGGATTCTATCCCCAGCTGTAGGAGGGGAGTGGTGCCTAGTGAGTAGAGCGGGGGAGTTAGAAGCCAGGACTCCTGGGTTCTCTCTACAGCTCCACCACTGATTCACTCTGCAGCTTTAGGCAAATCCCTTCTCCTGCCTGTACCTTCGCCGTCCTTCCGCCCCCCCTACCCCACCCCCCCATGTGAAATTGGGTGTGGGATGCCCCACACAGACTAGGTGTACCCACAGTGGCTGGGCTTTCTTGAAATGGCTAAATGCAGGGCTGGAGAGAAGGCCGGCTTATCAGGGCTTGGGGCTGATGAGACAACAAAGCCACGGGGGCCTTGGTTTTCTCCCCGCCCGGGGGTTGGGGAGATGCCGATGGGGCGCTCGGATCAGCACATGCCCGTCCCCGGCTCCCAGCAGTAGTGTCTGTGGAGACAAGCACACCACGTGGTGGATAAGTCAATACTCCGTTCACTTGGTTACCTTTCCCCGCTCCTGCTTTGCATCCCTGCGTGGCTAGTTCAGCCAGTGTTTACTCCCCGCTCGCTCTCTTTACGTTTTTTTTCCCCTGGTTTCAGTGTCTGCCACAGATCGAAATAGTGTGGGATAGACCTGTGTTGCTCACTGCATCTCTCCTCCCCCACTCCCATAAAAGACGTACAATGCACGGGGGCCAGTTAGGGAAAGGAGTATGAGGCCTTTCCCTTCCGCGGGGGGTCCTCTCTGATCCAGCCCCGGTTAGGGGACTGGCTGGCTCAGGGGCAGGAGGGAATGGGATTCAGTCCCTTTCCCCTTTATGGGGTGCCAGCTTTCATCCAGCCCAGCTTAGGGGAGCGGTTGGTTCAGGGGGCCAGGAAATGGGACACTGCCTCTTTCTTCTCTGGGGGGGTGCTGGCTCCAACCCAGACCCAGGGTGGGCGCCCTGTGAGTCGGAGGCAGGTGGAGTCTCTCCTGTTCTCTTGGGATTTTTAAAAAAAATCAGTTAGCTAAAAAAAAAAAGTCTAGCAAATTGCTCTGCTAATCACAAATAAATTAACCCTCCTCCCAGCTTCGTTCCATAGCGATTTGCTAGGCGTGGCAAGTCTCAGTGACGGGATGGGAGCGTGGAATTGAGCGTGGCTCTGATTTCCTGCCTTGTTAGCCAGCGTGTGGAGAAAAGATGGCCGTGTGGCTAGGAGCTTGCATGCACACATGGGCGCGCTGTGTCTTTGAAACCATTACAAAATGGATCAAAGGAAATACTCGTCCTTACAACATATCATTACCCTGTGGAACTCGCTGCTACAGGATGGCGTGGAGGCCAAAAACTTGGCAAGAGCCAAAGAGGGATTGGACGTGCACACCACGCCCATGAGGTGTGCTGCTCTGTCCCCTTGGAGTGGTGACGGGGCCACTTAGAGATTGATGAGCCTGGACCAGCCTTGGAGGACAGAGCTGAGTCTTCTAGCAGAGGTAGCAAAGGCTTTAAGATGCAGGGGTCCGAGGTTTGCTCCCCTGGAAGTGTCAGGATTTCTACTGGGTGGGACACCAGCCTGGGACTTGGGAGACCTGGGTTCAGTTCCCTGCTCTGCCACAGACTCCCTGTGTGACCTTGGGCTTCTTTGTGGCTCAGTTTTCCCATCTGTACAATGGGGAGAATAGCACCGCCCTACCTCCCGGCCAGGTTATGAAGATAAAACCGTTACGGTTTGGGAGAGGTGAGGTATTGCAGTTGTCACCGATTGGGGGACGGGTAAACAATGAAGATGACGGGTCACTGACACAGAGCGATCTGGATCCTTTGGTAAACTGGGCGCAAGCAAACACTATGTTTTATTACAGCTAACTGTAAATGTATCCGGCTCGGAACAAAGAGCGTCGGCTGTGCTTCCAGGCAGGGGGGCTCTCTCCTGGGAAGTAGGGACTCTGAAAATGATTTGGTTGTGGTGGATAATCAGCTGAGCAGGAGCTCCCAGCATTACGCTGGGGCCAAAACAGCTAGTGGGGTCCGGGGATGTATAAACGGGAATGTGGAGTAGGGAGAGGTGATTTTCCCTCTGCATTCGGCACTGGGGCAACCGCAGCTGGAATCCTGTGCCCAGTTCTGGTGCCTACAATTCAAGAAGGATGTTGATAAATTGAAGAGGGGTCAGAGAAGAGTCACGAGAAGGATCTAAAAGATTAGAAAACCTGCCTCCAGGAGCTCAGTCCATTTAGCTTATTAGAGAGAAGGTTAAGGGGTGACTTGATCACAGTCTGAGTATCTACTTGGGGAGTAACGGGCTCTTCTGTCCAGCGGAGGCAGGCCTAACACAATCCTCTGGCTGGAAGTTGAAGCTGGACACATTCAGACTGGAAACAAGGTGAGCATTTTTCATGCTGAGAGTAACCACTGGAACAAGGTACCGACAGCTTCTCCGTCGCTGATCATTTTCCAGCCAGGACTGGGTCTGTTTCTAAAAGCTCTGCTTTAGGAATTCTTTCGGGGATGTTCTCTGGCCTGGGTTCTACAGATCACAATGGTCGCTTCTGGCCTTGGGGGTCTGTGAAAGTATCCTATGGACACGGATCGGGTTTTATTAGCCTCTGAGCGAATGGGTTTCTTTTTTAGCTCAGGAGGGACTCCAGCTGTGGGATCCAGAGGTGTCAGGTTCAACCCCTTCCGCTGGACCCCACTGCGGGTGTCATTCCCTGGGGTTTAGGTACAACGCGGGCCCCCCGCAGCGGCATCATAAAGATCTTAATGTGAACCTGGCTGATGGGATAGGGCCGCTCCGCCACAGCCAGGCAAATAGCTAACGCACTTTCCTTTTTATATCCCCGCCCCCTGCTCCCTTTTATCATTCCCCCCACCCCTGCTTCCATGTCTTGCCTGTGTCTTCGCATGTCTCTCCACCTCTGGTTCTCTTCCCCCCATTCACTCCTCTCTTGCTCTCCCTGTTTGCCTTCCTCTTGTCTTCTCTTCTCCCCTCTCCATGTCTGCATCCATCTACCCCGTCGGTCTGTCTCTGTCGTCATACCTACCCACCCACCTGTCTGTCTCCACCTGCTATCATCCATACCTATCTGTCCATCACCATGCATCTGATGTATCTTATTGTGGTCCCCGTGCATCCATACCCACCCGTCCGTCCATCGTGGTGCATGCCCACCCCTGGTCACACGTATCCATCCATCCGTCTCCTCCTCTCCCCCCCCCACGTGTCTTTCCCCTCCTCTCTGTCTCCAGCAGACCCCCCACCGCCTCCCCACCCCCACCCCAAGCCAGGAGGAGACGACTATGGCGCAGACTCTGCAGATGGAGATCCCCAACTTCGGCAACAGCATCCTGGAGTGCCTGAACGAGCAGCGCCTTCAGGGGCTGTACTGCGACGTCTCGGTGGTGGTGAAAGGCCACGCCTTCAAGGCTCACCGGGCCGTCCTGGCGGCCAGCAGCTCCTACTTCCGGGACCTTTTCAACAACAGCAAGAGCGCGGTGGTGGAGCTGCCGGCGGCTGTGCAGCCCCAGTCCTTCCAGCAGATCCTCAGCTTCTGCTACACGGGCCGGCTGAGCATGAATGTGGGAGACCAGTTCCTGCTGATGTACACGGCCGGCTTCCTCCAGATCCAGGAGATCATGGAGAAAGGGACTGAGTTCTTCCTAAAGGTCAGCTCCCCCAGCTGCGACTCCCAGGGCCTGCACGCCGAGGAGACCCCTTCCTCCGAGCCCCAGAGCCCCGTGGCCCAGACCTCCACCTGGCCCTCCTGTAACACCCCCTTGCCCCTCGTGTCCCGCGTCAAGACAGAGCAGCAGGAGTCGGACTCCGTCCAGTGCACTTTTGTGGTCAAGCGGCTCTGGGACAACGGCCAGAAGGAGGGCGGAGGCGGGGGAGGAGGCAACAACGGGAGCCGCAAAATGGCCAAGTTCTCCACGCAGGACCTCGGAGGCAACCGGCAGCAGCAGCAGGGGGCGCAAGCAGCAGCAGGGGGCGGGGGCGGCAGCGGGCCCAGTGTGGTGAGCGGGCCCAGCACGTCCGACCAGACCAGCCCCGGCACGTCCAGCGCCTACACGAGCGACAGCCCGAGCTCCTATCACAACGAGGAGGACGAAGAGGAGGATGCGGCCGAGGAAGGCTCCGATGAGCAGTACCGGCAGATCTGCAACATGTACACGATGTACAGCATGATGAATGTAGGGCAGACAGGTGAGAGTGGCTGGGTGGGGAGGGGCCTTTCATGCTCCACCCCTTGGGGGAGGGGCTTGGGCCCTAATGCTCCACCCCTTGGGGAGGGGCTTGGGAAAGGGGAGGAGAGCTAGTGCTCTGCCCCCTTGGGGGCATGGCACAGGGAGAGAGGAAGGGGTGGAGCTTATAATGCTCTCTCCTTACAGCAGTGGCTGGGGGAAGAGGAGGGACTTTTATTGCTCCACCCCTTTGGGGAGTGGCTGAGGGATGGGGCGGGGCTTCTGCTCTGCTGCTGGGTGTGGCACGTTCGCTGTCAGGGTTATGGGCAGGCGAGGACAAGGACTTGTTTTCATTGCACGGTGAATCCAGCTACACTAGCTGGAGAGTCTGGCCTGGAAGAGCTTAGAGAACCACTGAGAAGAAGGGTGGCCCAGTGGTAAGGGCGATACCTCATGCCCTGAAGACCTGGGTTCAATTCCCAGCTCCGCCACAAGTTCCCAGTGTGACCGTGCGCATGTTGCTCGGTCTCTCTGTGCCTCAGTTTCCCATCTGTACACTGGGGATCCCTGCCCTGCCTCCTAGGAGTGTGGTGAGGAGAAATACCCCAGCGGCGGGGGTAGGACAAGGACAAGCTGTAACATCTGGGCGTAGAAACCTTAAATCAATGACCTGGGTGAGGCCTGGAGATGATGGTTTTTCTGGGGTTTCTCCAGCTGTTCCAGGCTTCTCCTTGGATAAAGGCTCAGCCTCTGTGTCGTGAGTTTCACTGAGTCTCAGCCTAGTTCCCAGCAGGCCGGGCACACCCAGGTTGCTATCAAAGCAGGGCTCAGTGGTGAGGCTGCGGGTTTTTCTCGGGGCTCACCCCACTCGGCGGCTAGAGAAGCCCATCTGCAAGGGGGCGATTAGCCAGGGGATAAATTCACACGGACCCATGGCCGGGGAGAGGAGCTGGGCCGGTGGTCCCCATTGTAATAGGGGAGAATTCGCTCTTCTCCAGCTGGAGAGACAAACCCCTTGCGCTCCAGATCCCATCTGTGCAGGGGTTAAAAATGGCCATCGTCCCCGCCTCCCGGAAAGGGAAACTGACACAAAAAATCACGGGTCCTAGTCGCTGTAGTGAGTTGGCGGCAAACCTGGAAGTAGAACCCAGGAGTCCGGACTCCCAGTCCCCCCTGCTCTAACCACTAGACTCCACTGCCCTCCCGGAGCCAGGTAAAGAACCCAGGAGTCCTGGCTCCTAGCCCCCTCCCACCCCACTAGACTGAATGCTTAGGCCTAGGAGCTGTGTTCTGTGTGTTCACCCTCTACTCCCCCGGGCCCCAACCAGCAGCGGCCGCAGAGAAGGTGGAAGCCCTGCCCGACCAGGTGGCCTCTGAGTCTCGCAACCGGATCCGGGTGCGGCAGGACCTGGCGTCGCTGCCGGCCGAGCTCATCAACCAGATCGGGAACCGGTGTCACCCCAAGCTGTACGACGAGGGCGACCCTGCGGAGAAGCTGGAGCTCGTGACAGGTGTGGGGGGGGGGGTGGCCAACTGGGGGAAGGAGGCAGAGACCAGTCTGGGGTTGGGGGCGGGGGGCTAATTAAATTGCAGCATGTGAATGTGCTGCCCCTGTTTTAGGGCTTGATCCAAACTCAGTGGGGTTCTTCCCTTACCGGGAGCTGAGCACCTGTTCCTGCGTGTTGGCAGACGGGAGCCAGTGACAGGAGAGGCAGTGAGGCCCAATGGGCTGGCGCTCACGAGACCTGGGTTCTGTTCCCAACTCTGCCACTGCCCCACTGGGTGACCTCAGGCAAGTTCCCCCAACCCTGTACCTCAGTTTCCCATCCCACCCTGGGTCTGTGCAGGGCCTGGACTGATGGGGACTCGGTCAGGGGCGGGAGCTCTCTGTGCAGCAGCCAGCATGACAGAGGGCTCCAATCTTAGCCTGGGGAGAGGGCCCTAAAAAATTCACTGCACCGTGAAATCTGGTCTCCCCCGTGAAATCTGTATAGTACAGGCTAAAAGTACACAGAAGACCAGATTTCACGGGGGAGGCCAGTGTTTCTCAAACTGGGGGTCTCAACCCAAACTGCGGTTGTGGGGGGGTCACAAGGCTACTGTAGGGGGTTGCGATGTTGCCACCTTTACTTCGGCCGCCCTGCTCTGAAGGCGGCGCAGGAGGGTGGTGGAAGCTGGCGATACCCTGCCACGACACCTTATTTCTGCGCTGCTGCGGGCGGTGGCGCTGCCTGCAGAGCTGGGCTCCCTGCCAGAAGCCGCGGAGCTTCCTGGAGATGGATCTGACCCGACCCCGGGAGCGGCCCCTGCAGGGGAAGAGGAAATCCCGTCCCTCACCAGCCTGGCCAGGACCAGCAGCTGGAGCCTGCCATACGGTAGGAGCACCTCAGCCAGGGCGACCCCAGCCCCGCCCTTCCCTGGCTCCGGGCCCAGTGTCCCAGCGTTCGGAGGTCAGAGGGGCCTTCGGCTCGTCACCCTCCCAACCATGGTATAGGCCGTAAGGCCAGCCTTTCCCTCCCCCCCCCTCAAAAGTGAGGACACCCCCCCACCCCGTCAGGGTTCCCTCCCCACTCTGAACTCTGGGGTACAGATGTGGGGACCCACATGAAAGACCCCCTAAGCTTATTTCTACCAGCCTAGGTTAAAAACTTTCCCAAGCACAAATCCTTCCCCGTCCTTGGATGGGTACTGCTGCCACCACCAAGGGAGTTAGACAGAGATTCAGGAAAAGGACCGCCTGGAGTTCCTGTTTCCCCAAAATATTCCCCCAAGCCTTCACTCCCTTTCCTGGGGAGGCTTGAGAATAATCTACCAACGAGATAGGTGAACAAGGTGAGCACAGACCAGACCCCTGGGCTTTTTAGGACACTAAAAACCAATCAGATTCTTAAAAAACAGAACTTCATTATAAAGAAAAAAAAAAAAAGTAAAAATATCCTCTGTAAAATCAGGATGGAAGGTAATAAGATTTAAAACCCGGAGGATTCCCCTCTAGGCAAAACTTCAAAGTTACAAAAACCAGAGATAAACCTCCCTCTTAGCACAGGGAAAATTCACAAGCTAAAACAAAAGATAATCCAATGCATTTCCTTCCTATTACTTACAATTTGTAATCTTAGATGTTAGTTCAGATATGGCTTTAGTAGTTGTATTTTCCCTGCCCTGGTTCCTCACCAGAGAGAACACAAAGAAAAAACATAAAACAAAAACCTTCCCCCACAGATTTGAAAGTATCTTCTCCCCTTATTGGTCCTTTTGGTCAGGTGCCAGCCAGGTTATCTGAGCTTCTTAACCCTTTACAGATAAAGGATTTTATGGTAGATTTTAAAGGTAGATTTTATGCTACCCATAGCTGTATATTTATGACACCGCCCCCCACCATGCGCAGAAGTGAGGGTGGCAATACGGCGACCCTCCCTACAATAGTCTTGCGACCCCGTCCCCGTGACCTCCTTTTGAGTTGGGACGCCCAGGGTTACAACCCCATGAAATTTCAGATTTAAGTATCTGAAACCATGAAATTTACAGTTTTAAAAATCCTGTGGCCGTGAAAGTGACCCAAATCGACTGTGAATTTGGTAGGGCCCTAATGTTGGGGGGACCCCGATCTTGGCTGGGGGGTGTTTGTGTGGTGCTTGACACAACAGGGAACCTTGAGCTCGGCTGGGGGTGGGGTCTTTGGGGTGACCAGCTCAGCAGGGGACCCTGATCTCAGCCAGGGGGTGTCTGTGGGGCACCTGGCATGGCAGGGGACCCTGAATGGAGGTTCATGGGGTGCTGGGCACAGCAGTGGGCCCCAACCGTCGTCGTTAACCTCCCGTGCCCTAGAGTATGCAGTGTTACAGCCCCATCCCCTGTTCCGTGTTGCCCCGACGCCAGGACCTCCCTCGCCACGCAGAAGCCGCTGTCTGTCACTGCCAGGTCGGGGATTGAGGCTCGTGCTCCAGCTCCGTTCTGTTGGGTCCAAGGGCAGGCTCGGCAGGAATCGAGGCTGTTCCCTAGTGGCGCCCCCTTGTGAGGGGTCAGAGGGACATGTCTGGGTCATAATGGGTTTTTTTCCCCCACCCTGCCTAGGAACGAACGTGTACATCACCCGGGCACAGCTGATGAACTGCCATGTCAGCGCGGGGACGCGGCACAAAGTGCTTCTGAGGCGGCTTCTGGCGTCCTTTTTTGATCGGTGAATTTCGGCTTTCTGTATCGTGGGGGTGGGCCTGCGTCTCTCTCTTCCTGTCCCCTGCCCTGCCCTGCCCTGCCAGGCCTGACGCAGCACTGGGAGTCCGGACGCCGGGATTCTAGCCCCAGCTCCGGGAAGGGAGTGGAGCCTAGTGGTTAGAGCACAAGGGGCCAGGAATCAGAACTGGGTTCCCCCCCAGCCTGTGGTAAGGAACTGGCAGGAATAGAGCAGGGGGCACTGGGAGCGAAGACTCCTGGGTTCTTTGCCCACCTTTGAGTAGGGGATGGGGGTCTGGGGGTCAGAGCAGGGCAGTGGTGAGAGGGTCTTTAGTTCTAATTCTCTGTCCTTTCCCCTGGCTAGGAACACTCTGGCAAACAGCTGTGGTACTGGCATCCGCTCGTCCACCAACGACCCCAGCCGGAAGCCGCTGGACAGCAGGGTGCTGCATGCCGTGAAGTGTGAGTGCAGGGGGCAGGGGGTGATTCTGCTGGGCCCAGGGGCTCCACAAGGCTGCATCCTCCGGGCCCCATGGGGGGTGAGCCGGGGTCCGAAAGCCTGTCTCGCAGCAGATGGTACTGCCCCACATCCCAGTGACGCTCTGGGGCCTAGCCCGTTGCGTCTTCCTCATTGAGCGTCGTGCCCTTTGCATCAGGCTCATTACGGAGATCCTGGCCTGAGCGTCCAGAGCCCAGCGGGGGGCAGGCCCAGAGACCCAGCTGGCACAGCCAAGTCCTCCAGGAGCTCTGGTTCTGGTTCTGAACATTGCAGGGCGGGGGGTGGGAGTCTCTGTTCTGAGTAGGGTGGACCAGATGTCCCGATTTTACAGGGACAGTCCCAATATTCAGGGCTCGCTCTTCTGTAGGCGTCTATTATCCCCCACCCCCCGTCCACACTTGCTGTCTGGTCACCCTAGTTCTGAGTCACATGCTCCCCATAACATGACCCTTGTACTCTCCATCTGGGGAAGGGGTGGGCTAATCCTGGCCCCGCCCCCTGTTAAAGGGCCAGACTCTTCTTTGCAGAACAGCACAGAGGAGGACCCCAGATGCACAGGGGGAGAATTACACTCATTATGTGTGTGTGGGGGGAGGGCAGGGCGGGGGGAGGGGTGTAGGGTAGAGAATGGGGATCTAAAGGCAGAGACAGGTATTTCCCATCACTGAGATCATGCCCCTGCTGGCCAGAGGCTGCAGAGAGATAGTCATAAAATGTAGGCCCAAGCTAAAAAGCTTCTTGTTTTTTTAAAATAATAATAATTCCCACCATTTATACCCCAGAGCTGATCTCGGCACTTTTTTAGACTATTTTAATCACTCTGGAAAACGGGATTTTTGTTTATTGTCGGTTGCTTTGCGATAGTTGGTTCCTAACATTACAGAAGGACAAAGAACAGATTTTTTTCATTTGTTGACAATTCAGAAAAGCTGGGGGGGAGAGGTTTCAAAATTTTGGCGAATCAAAAAGTAAAAATAAACCATGAATAGTTTGGGTGGAACAAAAATTTTAGTTTCTGGTGGGAGTGAAAACAAAAATTTCAGAAATTGTTGGCGAATGAAAAGATTGGGAAGAAAAGAGTTTTGGGTGGAACGAAACATTTTGTTCCATTGAAACCAGCATGTTTTGGTTTGACCATTTTAAAACGCTCTTTGAACTTGGAAGGAAACATTGAAACGAAAAGTCATTTTCAAACCGAAAAATCAATTCTTTTTTGTATAATTTTTTTTTAGGCTTTTGCCCTAAATGAGCAATTAGGTGAAACGAACGTGAATTTGCAAAACGCTTTGGTGTTACTGAAGTTGCATTTTTCATTGGGGTGGGGGGAAGTGTTTTGCCCTGTTCTACTTAACGCCCCCTCGCTTCCCCATCCTGGCATTACGCTGGGCCCCCCGAACTGGGCTGTAACTGTCTCCTGTCCTCTGTGGATCCGGCACTGGGAGGGGGGTCTTGCAGCACACTTGCCGGGGGGTGCTAGCATGGCTGCCCGACTAATAAGTGTCTTTTTTTTCGGCCCCGCTCCCCAGTCTACTGCCAGAACTTCGCCCCCAACTTCAAGGAGAGCGAGATGAACGCCATCGCCGCCGACATGTGCACGAATGCCCGGCGCGTGGTCCGTAAGAGCTGGATCCCCAAGCTCAAGCTGCTGATGGCAGAAGGTGACACCTACACCACGTTCATCAACGACACTGGGAAGATGGAGCCGGACATCATGGGAGTGGAGCAGAGCTTTGAGACAGGCAGTCACGACGGGGATGCAGGGACCTCGGCCGAGAGCCTCCAGTAAAAACCGCTTCCTCCCGTTAGCCCTTTCCATTCACTGATTTATTTTATTTTAATTTCTTAAGTTGATTATTTTTAGCGTCCCACTTTGATTTGATTTTAATGTGGGTTTTGTTTTTTTTTTCGGTTTGCCAGGGGGGGAAAAACGTTGCACCGTCTCTTTAAAAAAACAAAATCATCCTCAGTTCCTAATGCAGTGTGGGTAATGAGAGAGGGGTCGTGGCGTGGGCAGTTTCAATCTCACGCTGTTCTTACTGGGCAGGTGGATGTTTTCTTGGGTAGCCCTGTGAGTCAAACCGGGGAAATTCCCCCCCTTCCTCCCCCTCACGTTGTGCAGGATCCGTGCTTTTAATGACCTCTCGTTAAATAGATCTATAAATAATTGATCACGCTTTATATGCAGGTTCTGTTTATAGGTGGTTTGCAAAGGGGTAATAAATGATGGATCATGTCTCAAGCATATCAAAGACAGGAGCGTCGGATGTGTTGCAGCTGGGTCTAAGCTTCCCATTGGATTTGATAACCATCCCTGAGAACTGATTAACCTTGCATTCAAGCTTTATGAACCCTGTGCAAACTGCTCACGAATGGAGCCTTCGTACAAAGTGGGGCTGTACGATTTTACAGGAAAATAAAAATCCGAATTTAAGACCCTGATTTCTAAAAAGCATCTGTTCAAGACAGCATGTAAGCATGCGCTTAACTTTAAGCACCTCTTTATGTTCCTCTTGAATTCAGTCAAAATGGGCCTTTGACCTTATTCACCTTACATGCTCAAGTCCCACTGATTTCTTTCATCCATCCACAGGCTGCAGTGACAAGGGTGGAGAATAAGGATGGGTCGTAACGTGTGTGTCTCTGAATGGGGGCTTTTTTTTTAAAGCAAGCGACAGAGCAACGCTCCTGGCTGTAATGTCTTTTCACATTGCGTCTACACTGGATTCTTTTCTTCTTTCCCCTTCCAACCACGTAGTGTAAAATCCTACTGCAGCGACTGACAAGTGACCTCTATGGGCATTTGAACTTTGGGCAGAGCCAACCTAATTCCCTGTTGCTTTGTCTCCCTCGAGTGGCCAGGCTGCATGTGAAGGTTTGAATCCTCTAACAGGCCATATCTTTTAGCTCACCCGGTAGCAGTTTTGGCTTTTATCACCTCAAGTCTGAGATTCAGTCCCCAGCCAAGGTGTGTCATGTTACGCTAACTTGAAATTTGAGATTGTTGGCTGAAATTTCTTTTGGCTGGAAAAGGCAGATTTGCCACCAAAATGGGGCAGTTTCCCAAATTGTTTTGGCCAACCCCTTCCCCCGAAACGTTTTGTTTTGACATTTTCAAACTATTTCAGGTTTCAGAGTCGCAGCTATGTCAGTCTGTATCCGTAAAAAGAACAGGAGGACTTGTGGCACCTTATAGACTAACCAATTTATTAGAGCATAAGCTTTCGGGAGCTACAGCCCACTTCATCGGATGCATCTATTTCAGTGTTTCATCGTAACATTTGGTTTAGAAATGACCTTCCATTTTATTTTAGGAATACTGTAAGAAACGCTGCAAAACAAAACTTTCTGCTTTGGGGTGAACGGGTTTTGTTCAGACTGATACGACCTTTTCCCTGTTTTGTTTTTTTGGAGTTGACGCTGACGGCGCTATAGTTACGCTGATGTAAAACCAAAATCCAGCATAGATGAGCCCCTGAATGCGATATGCAAGGCTATGCTTGTTTTTTCAATAGCACGGGGCATTGTCGGGGAAAAAAAAAAAAGAGGGGGGGATGGGGGTAATCTATTTGAATCCCTTCCGGTTAATGCCAGGATCCCAAGTTGTGATTTTAAAATGTAGACCTTGATCCTGCAGACACAGGCAGGATTCATCTGTTAGGATGTGTGTGTGTTCATTGACCTATTCACATGCTGCTTCTTAAGCACTAGGGCCTGTTTTCATTCCTGGAATTGATGCTGTATGTTTTCTTGAAATGACACTGTTTAATTTTACCTTCCCTTTCTCCTCAATTTCACTTCTGTGCTGCTTTGCAGTCAGGGACTACTGGGTTCTGTTCCCAGCTCTGGGAATGGCGTGTGGACTGGTGGTTATCACAGGGGGCTGGGAGTCAGGACTCCAGGGTTCTGTTCTCGGTTCTGCTACCAACTTACCGCATGGCCTTGGGCAACTCACTTCCCCTCTCCGTGCCTCAGTTTCCCCATCTGTGACATGGGGATAATGATTCTTGCCTTGGAAAAGCTGCTAAGTGTAATTACTATTGTGGTTGTTGCATCTGTGAACATTTTTAAATTTAAACAAACGACCACACTCCTCCCCTCCCACACCCCCAAATTGGAAATTAAAATGCCAACATGAAAACATTGTTATCCCTCTTAGAATTTTTTTTTTTTTTTTTTGCAACCTTCTGTTTTCTTTGTAAGCCAATGCCCTACCCTGGGAGTTGGTGCCCCTTGGAGCAAATAAAACTTTCCCCATAATTATGTTATGGGGACAGGGAAAGGTTTTAAAAAAACATTTAAAATGTAATGTAAAAAAATCTGCATTTCAGGGGTTGGGGACTGTGAATAGTAACTCTGCTGGGGTCTGACCCCCTCTTCCATCCCCCTTGTGTAGCCATGTACCCCAGCGGGATCAGACTGGGGTGATCGGCTGTTCGAGGTTAAGGATGGAGGTGTAACACTGTGTGGACGGTCTCTCTTGTTGCTGTAGCAAGTCGGATCGATCTGTGCGTGTGACAGCGGATGGGGAGAGGGGATTAGTAGAAAGCTAGAAAATCAAAACCGTTGTTGGCTTGTCCCCAGGGAAGTTCACACCTGCCATGCTCCGCCCGATGGGAGGGTTGAAACCGTGGCCATGCTGTGCTGGAAGCATTCACCTGAGCCTCCTGAGGGGAGCAAGGGTGAAGCTGCAGTGGTGTGAACCTGAGGACGCTAAGCAGAGGCATGTGAAGGCAGATCGCTTCTGGCCCTGGGTCATACGGCTAGAGAATACCCAGCATTGGCCACCACGGGGGCTTGTGGGAAGGGATTGGAGGACCATCATCTATGGATTGTTGTGACTGCAGTTAGCTTATCCCTCCTATTGCTAACTCAGCGTCCGCACCATGTGTCTCGGAGCCCGGTGGCAGCTGCACCTTGTGGCTCGGGTGGTTGTGTCTGAATTCGAAGCGTGTGATGGGGGAAACCAGCACCTGAACCTGGGTTAAATCTGCTGTGAAGACGAAGCCAGAAGCACTCGCCTGCTCTCAAACCTACCCTCCGTCCGCACTTACATTGCTGGATCAAAGGGTGTGATTTTTCACACTGATGTATTAAACTAGATGCAACGTTTGTGTGTGTGTGGACATTCCTATACGACTTTAAACCTGGCTCGTGCCTCTAAAGTTACAGGGGCAAGCTAAACTGGTTTGAAACCCATATAAGTATGTCCACACACAACTAAACTGGTTAACCTTAAACCGGTGCAACTTCTGTGTGTAGGGCTCAGTCTAGCTACAGATGTTTGCCGGTATAGCTGTGTTGTCTGGGCGTGTGACATAATCACAACCTCCTCCCGGCACAGCTGTCCCACCACAAGACCCGGTGTAGATGCAAAGCTGATAGTATTCAGGGAGGAAATGCTATGCTGGATGAGCCCTTGATGTGGGTTACCCCAGGCAGGGTCATTAGGATTTAAGCGATCTCGGAGGACCAGAGAAGGGCAAACATAGTGCCGATCTTTAAAAGGGGAGCAAAGAGGCCCCTGGGAATCACAGACCAGTCAGCCTGACTTTGATACCTGGAAAGGCAGCAGAACAGATGATTAAATGATCAATTTATAAGCCCCTAGAGGACAATGGGGTGACAAGGAATAGCCGGCATGGATTGATCAAGAACAAACCAAGCTAATTTCCTTCTTTGACAGGTGACTGGCCTTGCAGGTGGGGGGAAGCAGTAGACACGGTAGATCTTGATTTTAGGTGGGCTTTTGACACAGCCCCCCATGACCTTCTCATCAGCAAACGAGGGAAATGTGATCTAGATGAAATTAGTATAAGATGGGTGGCGGGAAGACTCAAAGAGGAGTTATAGCTGTTGGACTGGGAGGACGTCTCCTGCAGCATCCCATAGGGGTCAGACCTGGGTCTGGTCCTAGTCAATATTTTCATTAATGACTTGGATAATGGAGTGAGGAGCGCGCTTATGATGTGTGCAGATGTCCAAGCTGAGTGGGGTTGCGGGCACTTTGGAGGTCAGGGCTAGAATTCAAAACGACTTGGTCAAATTGGAGAATTGGTCTGAAACCAGCGAGATAAAATTCAGTAAAGACAAGGGCAAAGTATTTCACTGGAGAAGGAAAAATCAAATGTGCAGCTATGAAGTGGGGAATAGCTGGGCAGGAGGTTGGACGGCTGAGAAGGATCTGGGGGTTCTAGACACAGGTGAATGCGAGCCACCAAAGCCAGACAGTTGCTAAAAAGCCTTGTATCGATCTGGGGTGTACTAACAGGAGGGTGGTGGGTAAGGTGTGGGAAGGTCACTGGCGAGGCCTTAGCTGGAGTCCTGTGTCCAGTTCTGACTGCCACACTTTAGGAAAGAGGTGGACAAACTGGAGAGAGGCCAGAGGAGAGCACGGAAAAGGATCGAAGGTTTTGAACACCTGGCCGATGAGGAAGGTTAAACAACCTGAGTGTGGTTAGCCTTGAGAAAAGGAGACTGGCGGGGAGGGTATCGGATACGGCTTCAGATGTGTTAAGGGCCGTTATAAAGGGGACGTATCCACTGGAGCTAGGACAAGAAGCAATGGGCTTAATCTGTAGCAAGGGAGATTGAGGTCAGATATTAGGAAAAGCTTTACAACCAGAGGAGGAGTTAAGCTCTGGAACAGGCGTCCAAGGGAGGTGGTGGCAGGGTTTTAAGGACTGGCTGGACAATTAGCTGTTGGGGAAGGTCTAGTTTTACTTGTCCCTGTCTCAGCACAGGGAGCTGGACGTGGTGACCTCTCGAGGTCCCTTCCAGCCCCACATTTCTATGGATCTGTGCCCTTTATTCCCTATTAAACTGCTTTGCCGAATATCCCCATGCGAAGTGTGAGTGGCTGTAAAACCATTCTGCTCACTCTGCGAGGTGTGGTGATCACACACTTACAGCTGCATTTTGTATCAGACTTTTAATTACCCAGATCTTCCCGCTACATATAAGAGCGGGGTGATATTATTAATATAGTGTTTTTAATCAACAGATCTGAAAGCTGCTCACAATCTTTATTAGTCATGATTTCTTTTAACTGGAAATACATTCCCCTCTCTCTCACGCACACAGCTGCAGTAGAAAGAAAGGGTGAGGGTTTTTTTGCTTACATTTTTTTTTTTTAGTAAAAACTTTTCCTCCTTGCCTGGAATGTCTGACCATTTGATCTTCTTTTTAATGAAAAGAGGAGTTGGGGAAAAGAAATGAACCAGTCTTGTGTGTTTGGAAAATGGTTGCCTGCAAAAATTCCGCTTCCAAAAATTGTAAGAGCATAAATCCTCTTAATATTTTTTAAGCCACCAGCTGTGGGGGGTTGGAGACGCCTTCCCACAGAAACGTTTCTAGTGTATGTATTTTTAACACTTTAAGAGCATAATATCAAAGTATAATTCTTTGATTGGAAGATCTTTTTAAATCAGAATATGTAAAATTCACCCCCCGTTCAGCAGACTGGCTCCAGATCTATGCGTCACTTACACTCTTGAACTAGAATTTTACATGACAAAAAAGACACGAGCCGGTGTGAATTCCACCTAGTGGGGTAGATCCCCAGCGGATGTAAATCTGCGCGGCTCCAATAAAGTAAGTGGGGCCAGATCCTTAGCTGGTATGAATTGGCTGCAGCTCCATTAAGAACAGCCTTCTGCCAGGTGTGCCAACTTGTCAGTGGAAAAGCAGACTCTGCCCCCTTGTGCATTACCCTCAGATAACTTGGGTCCTGCTTCTGTGAGATGCTGAGCACTGGGACCTGAGTCAGTGAAGCCCCATGGAGGCTGCTTAACTTTAAGCTCGCCAGAAGTTCTGTTGAAGTCAGTGGGACGACTCGCATGCTTAAATTTAAGCATGTGCTTATGCGCTTTGCTGGATCGGGCCCAGAGCTTGGTTGATATTTTTCTACAATTCAGAAACAAGGCCCACTGGCAAAATTCCAAATGTTGGAGGAAAAGGTTTTTATTTTATTTTTTTCCCCCTCTCAATGTTTCTTTCTGTGCTTTCGATCAGCTGTGAAGAGCCCCAGCAAAATGCTTCACGCTGGGACACAGTTTGAAACTTGGTCACAGCTCCAAATTTGGACCAAATGTCACTCGTCTATCCCCTCCCCTCGTTTTCCTCCCATCCCTATGTTATCACAATTTGTTTGGAAAGATTTCTGGTTCAGGAGCCCATTGGTCTGGCTACTGGTGGCTTGCGTGGTTAACCTTATCACTAGATAAGCATCATGGGTTAGTTTGGCTCTTGAAGAAATTAAAAGCCAAGACACTGGGATCATGGTAACTCACTAGGAATCAAAGACGAGTGTGTGGTGTTTGTTAGTTATTTGAAATAACCTTTTTTTTAATTGCTCCTTTGTTTCAACGTGTGGTTTGTAAACGTGGTGGTGTCTGAAACGTTTTTTGGTGCATATTTTTACTGATTTCACGATCCACCCCCCCCCCAGATTTAAAAATAATCATTATGAAGGGGGAGGGAGGGGAATAACTGGCTTCCCAATGACACTGTAATCTGACTTTATTTCACTGTCAGAAAGGATACTGTCAAAGCATTGTTAGGGCCCCAAGCCTGTACGCTCCACTCTGGGCACTGAATCCAATGGGACTATGTCTGTCTGTCATTACAGAGAGGCACATTCTGTGAAGCTTGACAGGAAGCGGCCAGGCTCGTGGCTGGGAACCCCATGCTGCTCTGCTGGCTAAAATCTGAACTACTCACCTGTGGGACAAGAGCCCAACACTGCTAATCTAGGAGCCTGGTTCTCCTGTAGCACAGAGGGCTGGGGGGTTCTCATGTACAGAACAGGAGAATCTGAGTTCTAATCCCGCTGCAAAATTGCAAGTGATAACGGTTAAATCTGGGGTGGCGATAGGTTTGTTACAACATATTTTTACAAAGTCTTCAGCTGTTTTTCTTATAACCACCATGGATTCTGAGACTGGAGAGGATTGTACAATGCCTGCCCTGTCCATAGAATCACAGGACTGGATGGGACCTCAAGAGGTCATCTAGGCCAGTCCCCTGCACTCAAGGCAGGACTAAGTATTATCTAGACCATCCCCATCAGGTGTTTGTCTAACCTGCTCTTAAAAATCTCCAATGATGGAGATTCCACAACCTCCCTTGGTAATTTGTTCCAGTGCTTAACCACCCTGAGAATCAGGAAGTTTTTCCTAATGTCCAACCTAATCCGCTCTTTGCTGCAATTTAAGCCCATTGCTTCTTGTCCTCAGGATCAGAACTCAGATCTTCCTACTCTGCTCATGATAGCCCCAGCCTGCCGTGTTACAGGAGAATCATGCTGGTTCATTCACTTCGTGGTCACTTTTAATATTTCTCTTCCCCAGTCAGTTTCACTTTGAGTTCCCCTCTGGGCAGGGGAGGGAGGTGATAAGATTTAAATATTGAAACCAAACCCGCAAAAGTCCTATTTTTCCAGAGCGATTAAAACAGTCTAGAAAACAGAGAGCCTAGAGCAGGGGTAAAAAAGCCCTTAAAAGAAATGTGAGAGTGACTCTTGTTTTAGCGTGGCCCATGTTGTTTGACAGTCCTAGCAGCCTTTGTCCAGCAGGGGGCAGGCGCCTGGGGATGGGAAATAGCTGACTTCCCCTATAGCTGCCCAGTCTCTCTCCTCTGCCAGAGGGTGTGGGTTGCTCTCTGGGGCTAGGGAAGATGTGTGACAACTCCTGCTTTTAGCCCTGGGGGGGTCTCCGGTTCCGTGCCCTGGGGTGTCAGCTGAGATGGCAGCCAGGCTTTGAGGGGGATCAAAGTGGGGCCTAGGTTGTTAGATAGATACAGCACCTGAGAGCTCGCTCAGCTCGGCTGTTACCTGCCCCTTGCTGATGCTGATCTGAAGCACATAGCATCGTCCTTACAAAGGGGCCCTGAGGGTGGGGAGTGAGGGGCACCGGAAGAGCTCAGGGGGGAGCCCAGGGCTGGGAGAGCAGGGGGCTGCGGGTCAGGATTGAGGGGCACCGGCACAGGTGCGGTTGAACTTTCCCAGCATCCGCCTAGCACAGGCCCCTGCTGCACTGAATTTACTTGCGAGCCATTTCGTCTCTAGGTGGGGGATGGGGCTGTGAGTCCCGGAGTAGAGGTGGAGTCGGCCATCAGGTGGGGACAGTCAGGCCAGGGGCCACATCCTTCCCCCACGACGCTCTAGGTTGTCCCACATTTGCCCTGGAGCCCTGCATTCCGGTGGCGTAGGATTCCTGTGTGGTAATATAGTTACGCCACTGGGGGGCAAACTTCTCCAGAGCCTTCCTACAATACTAATTCGCAGGGGCTTGCGGTCTGGGCATCTCAAAAGACCTTCCCTGTCTTACAGATGGAGAAAGGGAGGCACTGAGATGTCTTGCCCCAGGACCAAGAGGAATCTGTAGAAAAGCTGGGGATAGAACCCAGGAGTCCTGGCTCCTAGCCCCCCCTGCTCTAACCCACTAGACCCCACTCCCCTCCCAGAGCCAGGGATAGAACCCAGGAGTCCTGGCTCCCTCTTCCTCCTACGCTTCCTTCGGCGCTGACCAATAGACCACGTTCCCACTCAGAACCCAGCTCTCCTGACTTTGCCAAGTGCCTTCCCCGCTGTGCCGTGCTGCCTGGCTGGCTGCTGTTTTTAATGTTTCGTTCATTTACGCTGACTGGGACAAATTCCTTGGCCCAGGATATAAATCCTCCCCCCTGGTGAACAGGAAGTGGGGCAGGATCTGACTTCGGGACCAGAATAGCGCAGCTGCCAGTGGATGGTCCTGTTCTGCCAGCGCCTTTGGCTAGAGAGCACTGAGGCTCCGTCACTTTCTAGCGCAGGCTGCCGGGGCCGGTACTGTGATCGGATCCACTCTATGCAGGGAGGATGGGAGCTGTCCCGTGAACAGAGCAGGGCAGTACTGGGTGGATAGGGACTGGGGACCAGTGAAAGCTGTGGATCAGCGTGCATTACGTTCCCCCTGCAGCCCCCTCTCTGGGCCTGGTCCGCAGATGATCTGGCACAAGCTTTTAGCTCCAGAGGTGTGGCCCTCACACCAGGACTCCTGGGTTTTCTTCCCAGCTCTGGGACGGGGAGGAGTCCCTTCCAGCTCTGTGCCTCAGTCCCCCTCCACTGACATGGAGGGAATATTGACCCAGCCTGGTGAACAACAGGGGACGAGGACAGTGCAAGCTGACAGTATTTGTGATGAGGATGCGGCAGGGCACGTAGTGTGGTGAGGGTTGGGGAAAAGCAGCCAGATCTGGAGGCTAGCAGGAGATCCCCTGGGATGGGGGTTGCTTCTAGGATCCCCCCGATCCCTGTTCTTGCACTAGATGATAGCAGGGATCCCTGCTGTCTGGGGTGATGTCAGCCCAGGGCTTCGGTCATGGAGGGGAGATTCGGAAGTGTGTCCGGTGTCTGTGCGGTTTGGGGACCATCTGACTGGAGCTTGAGCTCCCAACTTTTCCCTTTGGCTCCCAGTGTCGGGGTGGCAGGTGTCAGCACCCTCACGTGTGATGAGTTGAACCAGTCTCTGCTTTGCAAAGGAGAGCTGGGGTCCTTCCCATGCCCGACCTCAGACCCTTCCCAAATAATGTCCCTTTAACCCTTTCACTCCCGCTTGCCCACCCTAGCTCAGACACTGGGGCCCGTGGATTGATTTGGCCCAGCCCGAGCCAATGCAGAGCCATGGCATGATCTTCGATCCACACGGCAAGGGTGGGCGAGAGAGGTTTGAATGTTGCTATTCCGTAGATGGGCCACCTGGTGGTGCTGTTACTGTCCACATCAGTATGGGGCAGGGGGGGAGTATCTTTTGAAGTGAACACTCCCCCCTCCCCGGTGGGTTTTAACCTTTGTTGGTGGGAACCTAGAGATTAAAGCATCTAGGCCTGTAATGAGCGAGGGTCAGTGGGGAGGATCTGAGGGGGAAGGGAATAGGGATGGGGTGGATGTGGCAGGAGCAAGGATCATCCCGGTTCTCCTCTCTCTGAGGCCTGAGCGCCAGATCAGAATCCCGCTACCTCGGCTTAAAAGACAGCCTGGGCTTGTCCTCTCGGGTGGATCAAACTGAACCCCCCATGGCAGGGCTGCCCAAGCTCTAAGCCCCCTTTCTGCTCCCTTGCCTCGGCCTCCCGCTTCAGGCCAGGGGGAGATACAGAATAGGCTGACCTGCCCCCTCTTTCCACTGCCTGGGAAGGCCCCTATGCAGGGTGGAATTCCCAGGCCCTCTGCACCCCATAGGCACTTTCAGATCCCTTTGTGCTGCTGGGGAATCAGACCCAAAACTTCCCAGGCATGTGGGCGGACACCGGCCGGCCTGCCAGAAAGCTCTGGGGTCGGGGGAGAAAGTAGCTCACAATAAGCATCCGGTGGCGTTGGAACTGGTTCTGCATGGGGGCTGGTTCTGCTGGTTACTCCCCTCTCCTTCCCCTGCTTGGGAACTGGCCTTTTGATTTAATATTGTAAAAGGGAAAAGCGATTTCAGTCCCAGATTCTGGAGTTAAATGCTTACTTCCCAGGGGAGCTGGGCATGGGAATGCCTTTCAGGACCTAGGTTTTAGTTTATAACGCAGGGGGAGGGGATTCTGGGGCAGGGGGGCCCAGTGGGAATGGGTTTGCCGCAGCCCCGTTTAGCTGAGCTGGGTTATGCCAGTGCAAGTCCGCCGCTGATGCTTTGGTTGTAATGGAGTGACTCCGGATTGTCCGGAGCTCAGAGGAGTGACTGCGGCTTGACACTAGAACTGAGATGGGAGTAGGTCTCACTTTCTGCAGCTCGAATTTTCTCTCTCTTTTTTTTTTTTGCCCCCATTCTTCCCCGCCAGCCCCAAGAGGGCTGAGATGGGCGTACACCCCTCCCCGCGTGCTCCTAGCCTGATTGACACTGTAACTTGGGAGACCCAAAGATGGGGGGTGCTGTGCCTTATGCAACGTGCCGGCAGTCCCAGATGCCCCTGCACCCCAATGTACTTGACACTATCCCAGGAGCCAAGGGAGAGCCCATGCCATAGATCCCTGCCTGGGAATGGGATGTTAGCCACACGCTCCTCCCCCAGGCCACAGTGCGTTAGCCCACACCCCTTTGCCCCAAATTAATCATGCTGGAAACCTGGCTATCTTCCGCCCGCAGCGCCAGGCTCAAGTGGGAAGCCCTTACCACCCCCCCCATGGGATTTTTTTTTTTTCTGAGCTGGCAAATTTATTCACGATTGTTTGCGTTTTCTTTCCAATCTGGACTTCACTTTCCGTATTTGAGTTGGGAAGCGGCACCTGGGTTTTTTCGCAGCTTTTGGGTTGGTTTCCCTTTCGTTGCCATCATCGTCGGGTTTTGTTTTCTTTTTCAACAATAACAAAAAAGAATGAACTGAGGGGAAAAAAAAATCTCTAATTTACACTTTAAAAAGCGCGAACGCCTGATTGTTCAAAGCGCATGCCAATGCAGCATGGACACCTTCCAAGTGCTTTCAGTTGATGCAATTAGCTTCTATAATCTCAAGCATTTCTCCCCCCAATGCCCCTGTCTCTGCCCCCCCCCATCATAACATACTTACAAAGAGGAAAACAAAACAAAAAAACCTTTAAAAATTTTTTTTAATGCAACTCACTCTTTGCTCCCCGGCGCCCCCTGCTGTTGTTCTAACCCTGCCCCCGCCCCCCAATAATGCCAGTATTTGTTCTGTGTTATAAGTGCCAAGAAATTTTTGTGACTCCCTCATTCCTGTGACCTGAGAGTATCGACAATTGCACATTAACTACTGTAAAGATTTAAAAAAAAAAAAGAAAGAGGAATTCAGAAATGTTAATAAAAAATAAAATGGTTTGTAACAAATTTGCACACCCGGCTGGTTATTTTCTATCCTGATTTCACGCGCACACCCCAGGCATTTGCCAACAGCTGGAGCTTGGTGTTTAAGGCACCTGAGAAAGCTGGGTTTAGTTCCTTGACCAAGACATTGCCAATTCTGTGCCTAAGTTTCCCCATCAAAAATAGGGGATCGTTCTGCTCCCTTTACCTACTTAGGGTCAGAAGGGCTCTCTGTGACCAGAAGACTTCCCTGAATTAATTCCTCTTTGAACTAGGAGACGATGTTTTAGGGAAACATCTGATCTTGATTTACAAATTACCAGTGGTGGAGACTCAACCAGGACCCTGGGTAAGTTGCTTCAATGCCCTCCCGGTTAAAACCTTCACACCATATTTCCAGTCTGCACTGGACTAGCTTCAACTTTCAGCCTTTGGCTCTCGTGTTGACCCTTGGGCTGCTAGATTGATCAGTCCTCTGTTATCCAATAGTTGTTCCCCATGTAGGTACTTACAGCCCGGGATCGAGTCACATGTCCTGGGCTGGCCGGCCCCTGTAAGGGGAGGCAGGGCCTGATGCGTCCCTGAAGAGCTGCTCCCAAGGGAGGGACCCCATCTGGGCAGGTCATTGACCAACAAGCACTTAGCCCGGCTAAAAGACCTGTTGGTGGCGGGGTCCGGCCTTATGCGCACGCTCCTGTCCACCTCACCAAGCCAGCAGGGAAACAGCCGGCGCAGAAAGGATGGACAAGGAGCTGCCTGAAACCCAGGGCCGGCATGAAGAATAACCCACTGCCAGAAGCGCAAGTTTCTTTTGCACCATCCCGCAGCCCGGCACCTGGAGCAGGGCTCTCCTTCTGGGGGGCCGCTTGTCGGCAGTAACCCCAGGGCTGGACTTGAGGGACTCCCGGGGGTTCTTTGTACTCTTCAAAAGGAGCGAAGCGATGAGACCCCCCTCGCTAAGGGGGCAGCTTGTTCTCGGTTCCCAGGTCTGAGTGAAGCCCAAGTCCAGAGGCAGCGCAGCCAAGCCACGTGATGCCACCCGGCGGTGCGCATGAGGTTATCACATCACCCCTAACTTTCTGGGTAAGCGGAACAGCTGGAGTGCCCGGCAGGTTTTCCAAAGCTTGAATCTGCCCCGTGGCATGTCTGCCCCCCTCACTCGTCGAGCCCCAGCCTCCTGGCTGTGCGGCCACCAGGCCTGGGCACAGGATTCCAGCAAGGGGCACACCTGTGCCCCCTGCAGCGAGTCCACTGCCCCTGGAGGCCAGCCCTCTGTCCCCACCTGGGGGCTAGCTTGGCTAGTTAGCACATCAGGGCGGCCAGCTGCCTCCCGTGTTTGTGCAGAGCTGGCCAGGATGGGTCCCAGGGCACTGAAAACCATGATAGAAAAGCACAGCGGTGCCGAGCTGGTGCACAGTCCATGCCACGCCCCTGGCTGTAACGGAGTGAATCCAGATTGACAGCAGGCGTGGAGAGCCAAGCGACCCTCTGTCCGTATCTGCACAGCGCCTGGCGAGACATGGGTCCTGCTCTCAGCTAGGGCGGTGCGGGGGTAGCGTCTGGCAGGATGAGGGCCCTTATCTCAGCTGGGGGGGGGGGTGTGGGCAGCGCCTTGCGGGACGAGACACCCCCCCCCCCCCACTTTCCCCCCTCAGCTGGAGCCTCTAGCAGATTACAGATCATTTCAGGGAGACTCATCAACTCTGGCTCAGGCCATGACATCCCCCCGTTACCCAATTTCCACTGGAATTTTAAAATACTGTAGAACGTGATACAGAGAGCGGTGATGAGAGACTATAAAAACCCCGTTATTGTCAAAGATTTCTTTAGCTTCTCAGATACCCCAGGAAAAGCAGCACATGGGTTTGGGGCAGGCATGGGGGCTGATTTCCCATGTGGTAGCAGGTACCATCCAAGTGTAATAGTCCTCACTGGGGGTCTAGTTGGGGAGAGTGGCCTAGTGGTCATGGCCACTACCTCTGACTACCAATGGGGTTGTGGGGAGGGGCACCCGGGCCTTCTCACTCCACCGGGCTCCCACCCAGGCCCCTGTGGGCTACAAGCAGTCTGGCAAACAAGGCTGGCCTCTTCCTCTTGTCCCCTGCCCACTAAGTCAGCTTACTCCAAGGCTTTCCCCTAGTGGGGAAATCCAAACCACACTAAGGAAGGAGGGGTGGTTACCAATGTCCAAGGGCCACAGGATACTTCCCTCTCTGGTTGTCTCTGGGGTGGGTCCAGCCTTCCCTCATTGTGTCAGGGCCTCGAGGCTTCCCCTCTGCACTGCCCCCCAAATAAGCTCATTCCCGGCCCTTTACTTCCTCCAGCAGATGGAGCATTTGCTGCAGCTCTGGTGAGGCGGGGCCCAAAATAATCCCTTAACCCCATGTTGCCCAGTATGGGGTTCATACACCCCATCACAGCATAGGCGGGGCTCCTTGCAGGGGTGTCCACGCATCCTCTGAAGCAGTGCAGTGGCTGAACACACAGCCGCCTCTGGCCCGTCACGCACTAGAAAGAAACTCTTGGGAGAGGCCCATTGCAGCTCCCTTTGCACCCTGCAGGGGGAGACAGGGCGGAGGGAGCCCCCTGCTGGGGCGCTCGCATGTGCTTATTCATTATTACATTACCAAGCAGCGCCCAGGCCTGTCCCCCCAGGCGTAGCACCATGAGAAGTTGACCCCCTGTGGCTTAAAAGCACCCCCCTTCCCCGCAGCTGCCAACAGTCACCTAAACTCATCCAGCCTTTATAAGGGGCTGGGGGGGGAGGGGCAGGCCTCGTTAGCAGCTGCCTCCGTTCATTGAGCCGCTCCAACACCATTTGCAGCCCCATTCCTGCCTGCAGAGAAGAGAGTGGCTGGGGGGGCACATGCCCCAGGAGAGACCCAGAACCCTGCAGGTTACCACAATTACAAGCGCTGGACACTGGGCCTGTGTCCAGATACGCCTCGTGCCTGGGATCTGCCCCCAGATCTCTTCTTCTTACGCCCTCCCGTCCCCCCAGGAGCCAGATCCGTTGCCTCTTAGGGACAAAACCCAGCCCCGGTGACTTTGTGTTCGCAACAAGGCCCCCGCAGCGCCCAGAGGCGCCGTTGCGTTCTCTGCCTGCGGGATTGCTGCGTGCTCAGGGCTGTGCCCGTTTCTAGGCAGCACTTGGGAAGGCCGGGGGCCAGATTCTCAGCTGGCATAACGGCCAAGGAGCCACTTGGATTCACACCCGTTGCGGAGCCCCGCCACTGATGTTAGACGCACAACCGGGACAGTCACAGCCTCAGCAGGTGTAAATCAGTGCAGTCACACTGATCCCGACGGGAGAACGCCGCTTTACACCAGCTGGGGATCTGGGCCCCCACGCTAAGCTGGCCTTAAAAGTCACTTCTCAGAGCACTGCGAAGATCCCCGGTGACGGAGCATTAAACGCTCCCAAGGCCGGCCCCATCTCAGCACACGGAGCCACCGACAAAAACCAGGCGCCTTTAAAGGGACAAAAAACTGGGCTCAGGTCTTCAGTTTTGCTGCTTTATTGTGCATTTGTTTAAAGGTTTTTTTAAAAAAATATTTTTTTACATTAGAAATTCAGGTTCCAGCTAGGCCCCGAGACTCTAGGCCCCCGTCACACGGGAGCTGTAGTTGGAGGTCCTTTACGCCTCTACTTCCTCCCTCCAGCCAGGGAGCAGGACTACATCTCCCATAATGCATTGTGCTCACTCCCAATAGCCCGGCCACTGGGCAGCAGCTGGGAGCCCCTCCCACCCGTTTTCCTCTGTGGGCCAAGCTCCCTGCCCAGACTATATCTCCCATGATGCACTGCAGTCTCTCCCAACTGCCCAAGTGCATCATGGGAATTGTAGAAAGGAGTGTCTCATGCCCCTGGTTCCCCCATGGGCCCTGCTCCCTGGCCAGACTACATCTCCCAATATGCATTGCAGTCTCTCCCCCGCAGCAGAGGCACCAGCAGGGTCCATCCTGGTTATGTTTGTACAGCACCAAGCACCGTGGGGGCCTCACGGCCCTACCATAATACAAATAATTAACAACAACAAACCAACAGTCAGGTCTCTTCCTCCCCGCTAAGGCAGCAAAAATCCAGCAACAAGACCCCCAGTTTCTTTAACGGAAAACCCTTCGCATGAGAACCCTCCTGAGGAATTATTTTGGCTTTTCGTACAAAAAATGAGTGACGGCCCCGCCAGGGAGGGGAGAGGAGTGAGCACACGCCGGGCAAAGCACAGCTGGGCTTTAAGGTGGGGAAGCCCTGAACCCACGCAGCAGGGGAGGGTATTAACCGCTGAGTCTGCATCTCATGCTCGTAGGAATTGTTCTCCCTGCAACAGGCTGCAGAGAGCTGGTGTGATAAGTCAGCGCCCCCTGGTGGCGCAGGCTCTGCTGCCCCGTCCCATCCTGGAACATGGGATGGGCAAGCTGCTTCTCCTCCCAGCTCCTGGCTTTGCAGAAGGGGGGTGGAGGTACCAGTTAACTGGCTTCCCCTCCCTCCCAAATCTGGGGAGAGATCAGAAGCGCCCCCCCCCCATTCAGCATGTTGCTACTGCTCCCTACAGGCTGAGGATGCCCCCGATGTGGAAGCAGAGGCTGGGGGGGGACCTGAACCAGATTCCCAGCAGGAATCTCCCCTGGTACCTGGAGGTGCCTTTTCTTTCCCACAGGTGCCAGCCCCAAGGGTCAGAGAAAGGCACCGGGGTGGGCCGTGCTCCAGCAGGGCAGCTCCCAGGCTGCTTGCCAAGCAAGGATGGAGGCATGTGCATGGTGGGGGGGGAGGGGGCTGGTCAGGAGAATGCTGCCTCCCCGCCCCGGCAGTCCTGGCCAGTCAATTACAGAGTGAAGAAGAGGATAAGCACCACGATGAGGAGAACGAGCAGAATGCCAATCGCACACCACTGCCGCCGGTCTGGGGAGGAGGAAGCACAGGGGGAGATACAGTGAGTGTGGGCGGGGGGGTGGAGTGGCAGGGGCGATTCTGAGATGGGGGGGTTTGGCTTAAGCACCAACACTAGGGACCTCTAGGCTGCCTGGGGTGCATTAAAGAAACCTCCCTCCCACCTGCACACACATCGCAGGAGTAGAGCTCACTACCCCCCCTCCCGTTTTACAGAAGGGAAACTGAGGCGGGGAAGGGACTTGCCCCAAAAGTCACACAGGGCCATGAACAGAACCTAGGAGTCCTGACTCTTTGCTCCCCTTGACTCTAAACACTAGACTCCACTTCCCTCCCAAAGCCAGGGATAGAAGCCAGGAGTCCTGACTCCCAGCCCCTCCCTGATCTAACCACTAAATCCCACTCCCTTCCCAGAGACAGGAAGGGGACTCGGGTTCTGAAGTTTCCTAGATGCTTTGAAAAATCTGCCCCTGCCCAGCGCCTTCCTCACCGCTGGTCATGTGGGACACCTTGGCCATCTTCTTCAGCACGCCATCCATGTGGGACTGGGTGCTGTCCATCTCCTGGGCAAACTCCTCCAGCATCCTGCCAAGCCAGGGTCAAGCGGTCATCTTGGGGTGCAGCACCCACCCAGAGGGGGGGCTGTGGTCAAGCAGGGAGAGGCCTGGAAACACCCACCCCACCCTGCCCTGCCCCTTCCCCACACCTGCCCGGCTCCCAGTGTCAGGGGATCCAGCCACTGCTGCTTTCAGTCCCCTGCCAAGGTGTCAGGAGGGGGCTTGTCCCATTCCCTCCCTCCACTCCCCCAGGTTGGTGGGGTTCTCCTCCGGGAACCTGTCATCCCTCTAAGAACTGGGCTGAGACCCGCCAAACTCACCTCACACATGGAGCCAGATGGGAAGGATTTTCAGATCTGGGGCTGGTGCCCCCTCGAGGGGAAAGGCCTCATGTCCCATTCCCCACCCCCCTGAGCCAGCCAGTCCCCTGCCCTGGGGCCAGATCAGAGCTGGCGCCCTCTAGTGGGAAAAGGCCTCATGTCCCATTCCCAGGCCTGTGAGCAGACCTCCCCTCGCCCCACCCCACTCACAAGCTCTGCTCCTCCAGCTCATCCCCAACCTGGCCCGACATGTGCTTCAAGACCCGGATGCTGCCCGACACCAGCTCCAGCTGCTCATCCTGCTGGTCTATGATCAGCTGCCGGGGAAGGGAGGTAGGAAAAGCCAGTGGGTCACTGCGGGGGGGGGGGGGGATGTGCGACAGGGTCCCGTTATGGGGGGACTGGATCAGAACCAGAACGGTGGTGGGAGAAGGGAACTGGGATGGTGGGATGGAGGAATTGCTGCCCCCCACCCCCTCAAAGTTTGCAACCTCCAGCCTGCTGGGTTAATCCCCAGGCTGTGGAACTCCCTGCTGCAGGGGGTTCAACATAGAGGGCCTGGGGGGGTTGTAGCTTGGGTAATTTTAGATCCAGCTCTCCGATGGGGTGGATGGATGTCAAGCCCCCCCCCCCCCCCTCCGGGCTGATCATTACAGGGGCTGGAAGGGAGGAATCCTCCTCTGGAGCACCTGGTGCCAGCCATTGATGGAGACGGGAGATGGGCCCGGTCTGATCCAGAGGGCAGAGATCTGGGGGGGTGGGGGTGGAATACAGACCTAGATGGGCCCATGGGTCTGACATGTAGCCAGGTCATGCTTCTAGTCCCTCCGGTTTAATCCATATCGTCCCCCCCACACCCCAGCTTTAGGGGCGTGACATCAGTTTCACTCTGATTTAAAGCAAGAGCAGAACATCTGACCCTGGGTTCCATTCCCAGCTCGCCGGGGGGGGAGGGAGATGCTGTGTTCATCCTGATCTTCGTGACTGGGGATGCAGCAGGGCATATCTCTGTCCCCTCTTGGCCCCCCCAGCCCTGGCCTGTGGGCTCAGATGGCTCCCCACCTGCTGCTGCAGTTGCTGCTCCTCAATATAGCGGGAATTGGCGGACACCAGCTCCTCCCGCAGCGGGCCGTATTGCTCCGGGGGGGGCTTCTGGCTGGCCCCACCGCCAATCAGCATCTGCGGGGAGAGAGCAGAGCCCTGATCGGGGACCCATCCAGGCAACTCACCGCTGGGGGTAGCAAGTAACTCGGGATGAGGGGGGAGATGGGGACTGGCTGGCTCAGGGGGGTGGGGAACGGGACATCGGGTCCTTCCCTTCTAGGGGGCACTGGCTCTGATCTGGAGGATGGCAACGCAAACTCCATGCTATTTGCCTCCTCCCCCTGCTGTCAGCCTGTCCCCTACACAGCAAGACCCTCATTACCAGAGGGGCGGGGGCCAAAAAAACCATGGGGTTTGGGCAGCTTGTCCCCGGATGGAGGATCCCAGCCGCCAGGGGCTGCCACTCCAGCTTCACCCATCAGCGGCTGCAAGACAGAGAGGACAGCGTACCAGGGCATGGGATGTGCTATAGGCCTTTCTATGGGGTCAGTCCCTGCAGCGGCCTGGGTGGTACTGTGGGCTCGTGCCCCCCCCCGGCCCCCCGGGAGCTCCAATTGCTGCTCAGGGAGGACAGGACCAGGTACCTCTCTGTTTTTCCGCTCAGCGATGGCCAGGGCTGACGGGCTGGATATGTGATCCCGCATCTCCTGCGATAGAGGGAAGGGAAGGGGTTAAAAACCACAGGGGTTTGTTGAGGGGGGGGAGAGGGGGACTTGGGAGAGCAGCAGCCCGGGGCACTTCCATGGGGGTTCCCCTCCCCGTCGGCTTCACAGACAGAAATGCAGGCACGGGGAAGGGAAGGCACTTCCTCACGGTCAGCCAGCAAGACCAGGAACAGAACCCAGGTGTCCTGGACTTCCCCTGCCTTGACCACTAGACCCCACTCCCCTCCCAGAGCTGGGGATAGAACCCAGGAGTCCTAGCTCCCAGCCCCTTGCTCTGTCCAGTACACACACACAGTTTCAAAACAACCTGCTGGAAACCATGATCCCTGACTCAGTTTCTCCTCCTCCCTGATCTATTGGGGTCCCTCTACTGCACTAGCTGTTGTGCCCCACTAGAGGGCAGCAGAACCCCACACACTCAGAGGAGGTCTGAGTTCCCAGATTCCTCCAGGAGGGGGCAGCCCGATGCCTCAGACAGAGACACACACAGGACACGGGGTCGTGGTGCATTGGGGTAGGGGTTCCCCACCTTGACAGAGTCCCGCATCTGTTTCACGAAGGCCCGTCTCTCCGTCAGCTCGCTGGCTTCGATCCTGAACTTGCGAGGGTTTGACTCCACAATGCGTGCGCCAGAGCTAAGGACCAAGCGCGCGGGGCACAGACAGAGTCCAGGGGTGGGAGTGGGGAGCACAGGAGGGGAGAGCGTGGGTGGGGTGGATGAGGCTCCAACCAGCCCATAGACCTCAAACAGCTCTCTGGATTGCCCTTCATTCCCATGGACTCTCCCAGCAGGGGGCGCTGTGTGGAGCGGGGCAGAGGCCTGGCACTGGGGGGGGCTCCGGCTACTCCCAGCAGGGGGCGCTGTGGGGAGCGGGGCAGAGGCCTGGCACTGGGGGGGCTCCCGGCTACTCCCAGCGGGGGGCGCTGTGGGGAGCGGGGCAGAGGCCTGGCACTGGGGGGGCTCCCGGCTACTCCCAGCGGGGGGCGCTGTGGGGGAGGCGGGGCAGAGGCCTGGCACTGGGGGGCTCCCGGCTACTCCCAGCGGGGGCGCTGTGGGGAGGCGGGGCAGAGGCCTGGCACTGGGGGGGCTCCCGGCTACTCCCAGCGGGGGCGCTGTGGGGAGCGGGGCAGAGACCTGGCACTGCGGGGGCTCCCGGCTACTCCCCAGCGGGGGCGCTGTGGGGAGCGGGGCAGAGACCTGGCACTGGGGGGCTCCCGGCTACTCCCAGCAGGGGGCGCTGTGGGGAGCGGGGCAGAGACCTGGCACTGGGGGGGCTCCCGGCTACTCCCAGCAGGGGGCGCTGTGGGGAGCGGGGCAGAGACCTGGCACTGCGGGGGCTCCCGGCTACTCCCAGCAGGGGGCGCTGTGGGGAGCGGGGCAGAGACCTGGCACTGGGGGGGGGCTCCCGGCTACTCCCAGCAGGGGGCGCTGTGGGGAGCGGGGCAGAGGCCTGGCACTGCGGGGGCTCCCGGCTACTCCCAGCAGGGGGCGCTGTGGGGAGCGGGGCAGAGGCCTGGCACTGCGGGGGCTCCCGGCTACTCCCAGCAGGGGGCGCTGTGGGGAGCGGGGCAGAGGCCTGGCACTGGGGGGGGCTCCCGGCTACTCCCAGCGGGGGGCGCTGTGGGGAGCGGGGCAGAGGCCTGGCACTGGGGGGGCTCCCGGCTACTCCCAGCGGGGGGCGCTGTGGGGAGCGGGGCAGAGGCCTGGCACTGGGGGGGCTCCCGGCTACTCCCAGCGGGGGGCGCTGTGGGGAGCGGGGCAGAGGCCTGGCACTGGGGGGGCTCCCCCAGGGGAACCCGGGCCCCAGAAGGATATCGATGGTCTCCTCCAGATCCTCCAGGTCCCACTCGATGCTACGCAGGCTGTTGCGCAGCTCGTTCGTGGTCCAGTCGAACTCCTCCGCGCTGACCACACGAGTCTCCTGCAGCAGCTCGCACCAGCGCCCGTAGAGCCCCCGGGCCGTGTTCACGGCCTTCTGCACCTCCCTGGGGGTCGGCGGGGGGGGGGGTTAGTGAGGAGCAGGGCGGGGACCCCCAGGGAAACGGCACTGGGCTGCCAAACCCTGTCTGGCTTCTCTTCCGCCTCCCCACCCACCCCAGAGGTGGCTGCATCTCAGCACCCGGCAAGGAAATCCGGTATAAACAGGGGTCGCCCCCCACCCCAGAGGAGGATGGGAAGGGATCTCTCCCGCAGCACGGGGGATGGGGGGGGTCTCGGACGGGGCAGGGGGGTCTCTTCCTCCAAGGGGGAGGGAAGGGGGCTGGAGGGGGGTTTCCCAGCGGGGCTCTCTGCACAGGGTCCCGATCCCCGGTGCTATTTTCAGCCCCATTTTAAGGGGGGAGGGGCGGCTCACCTCCGCACGGCGGAGAACGGGTCCTCCAGGGCCATGCTGCCGCCCCGGCCCCCGGCTCCGCTGCCTGCCGCCGCCGCCGCTCCCCGCCATGTGACTGGCGCTGGCCCGGCCCAGCCGAGGCTCCGGCCGCCGCCTTTGCTGAGGGCGGGGCGGGCTTGCCCGGACTCGGGGGGCGGATCCAGCCGGGCGGGTGGCAGCTACAGCGGGAGGGGCCAGGCTCCCCCCATTCACAACCCTCCATGGAGGAAAGAGGCAGGCGGGGGAGGGGCCAGGCTGAGCTGACCCCGAATTCCCGGCACTGACCTGCTCCAAACGGAGGCAAGGAGCAGAGAAATGGAACCCAGGCGTCCGGATTCTCCCATCCCCCACCTCCAGCTCCCACTCCCGTGCGGAAGCTGGGAATAGAACCCAGGAGTTCTGACATCAGCCCCCACCCCGCTGCTAGACTCCATTCTTAGCCCACCCCCCAACTAGGACTGGAACCCAGGAGTCCTGACCCTGCCGCCCCAACCACTGGACCCCACTCTCCTCCCAGAGCTGAGAACAGAACCCAGGAGTCCTGACTCTGAGCCTGCCACACTTCTAACTTCTAGACACCACTCGCAGCTCCTCTGCCCCCCAACTAGGACTAGAACCCAGCCCCCTCCCCAGCCCCTAGACTCCACTCCCAGCTCCTCCTCCTCATGGTGATTTCATTCCAGTCCAGCCAGTAGGACTAGTCCCTGCTGTGGGGTTACTGGTTGTCCCCTTCCTGCCCCAGGGGATTTCTCATGACTCTTGGTAGCTGATTCCATGGGCCCCGGGCTCCCAGGGGGCTGCTGCTGGGAGGCCTCGCGCGAGGGGTGACACTGAGCACTTGAGGACAGCAGGGTGGGTGCGGGGTGCATGCGGGTGGGGTGAGCTTTTATGTGTAGCCATGGGGTGGGGGGGCTGTGTGCATCTCAAGCTATATGTGGGATTTGTTGATGGTCGGGTTGTGGCGGATAGCGTGAGGGTGGTGTGCTACGTGTGTAGGCAGGGTGTGTGGGGAGGGGGGTTGCATGTTGTCAGATTGTGTGGGGGAGTTGTGTGGCATGCAGTCACGGTGTATGTGTGTTTGAGCTGTGTACAGGTAGATTGTGTCCAGTCAGACTGGGTGTGGTTGTGGTCATATTGTGGGGTATGTGTGTAGTCAGATTGTGGGGGGGGGGGGACAGGCAGTGTGTGTGAGGTGTTTACAGGTAGGTTGTGTACAATTGGATTATGAGGGGATGTGTGTCGTCAGGTTGTATTGAGTCAAGTTGGGGGAGAGTTGTCTGATATGTGTAGAGGGAGGCTGTGGGTGGGGGGATGTAGAGGCGATTGTGAGTAGTCAGATAGTGTGGGGGAGTTGTGAGTGGGTGAGAGAAGTAGGCCCTGTACAGTCAGACTGTGCTCAGATGTGTGTAGTGAGGTTGTGTCATCTAGTTGGATTGTGGGGGGATATTGTGGATGGATGTGTTGTGTAGATGGGTTGTGGGGGGAGTTGTGTGGGTGGGGGAGATGGGTCATGTCATGTAGTCATTATGGAGGGAGTTGTGGGGGGAAGATTGGCTGTGTGTAGTCTGATTGTGGGGGGTTGTCATGTAGTTGGGCTGTGAGGGAGACAGGCAGGTGGTAGATGCAGGAGATTGGGGGTGACAGGCAGGTGGTGAGTGAGTGGGTGGGGGGTGACAGGCAGGTAGTGGGTGGCTGGGGGGAAACTGGGGGGTTCACAGGCAGGTGGTGAGTGGGTTGGGGAGATTGGTGGGGCTGTGGCCTGTAGGAGGGCTGTGGGGGTGACAGGAAGGTTGTGGGTGGGGGAGATGGGTTCTGTCATGTAGTCATTATGGAGGGAGTTGTGGGGGGAAGATTGGCTGCGTGTAGTCCGATTGTGGGGGGCTGTCAAGTAGTTGGGCTGTGAGGGAGACAGGCAGGTGGTAGATGCAGGAGGTTGGGGGTGACAGGCAGGGAGTGGGTGGCTGGGGGAAAATTGGGGGGGTCACAGGCAGGTGGTGAGTGGGTGGGGGGGTGACAGGCAGGTGGTGAGTGGGTTGGGGAGATGGATGGGGCTGTAGGGGGGCTGTGGGGTGACAGGCGGGTGGGGGGGATGGAGAGAGATGGGGGGCACCGGGATGGGTGCAGTCCCACGTGCTGTGCGCACAGGCAGGCTGCGGGGGCGGGATCTGCAGCGCGAGCAGATGGGTTTTTCCCCCTAGGATCCCGGAAGGACGCTCCCCATAGGCCCCAACGGGGCCTTCCAGCCTCTGCCCTTATACGGAAAGAGGAAGCGAGGCGGCTGCAAATGTCGCCCCTTTCGGAACGTTGGTGCGCGCCGCGTTCGGATCCCGCCCCCTGTCGTCATGGGCCCCTAATATAGTCATGGAAACGGTAACCAGGGGGAGGCTGGGGTGACCTCAAAAGTGGGGCGGAGCCTCCTCCTCCTCCTCCTCCTCCTCTTCCTTCCTCTTAAAGCGATGGCCGGGGAACACGGGCTGGGGGGCCGGGCCTGCGATGGGGCAGGTGGCAGAGCGTGGAGCTGGGTGGGGGGAGGGGGCTTGACTTTAACACACCCCCCCATTCCTGCGCCCCAGCACCGATCCCCTGGCCAGGGCAGGGGCCCGCTGCATTGCATTCCCTCACTGCGGGCGGGCGGGCGGGCGGGGGGGAGGTGTTCCTGGCGGCCTCTCCGCGGCCCCGAGACTATGATCCGAAGGGAAAGAGGGGAAAGCAGGTTGACGAGGGGAGTAGAAACAGGTTTGCAATGCAGCCGCTTGCATCGGGCTCACGCATCCTAAACGGACGGAGTAAAATTTCATTCACGACGAGTTCCGGCTCAGATTTGGGGTGTGCTGTAGTACGGGTTGTTCATTGCCACGGCACAAGACGCAGCGATTGCATTGTACAGGCACACGTTTTGCAGCCAGCACGCAGGGGTTGCAGTGACTCCAGTCCGTGGATTGAAACAGAGTTGCAGCTAAAAACACAGAGTGCGCGGTTTACACACACACAAAGCGACGTGTGCATTTGCCCTGGAGGTTGCATTCCACGTACACAAGGTGCCTTTTATCTAGCAGAGATTGCATCCTCACACACGCTCTGCTTCTGCTGCATTGCACGCAGGGACAGATTGATTTGGCAGACTGCATTAAACGGCGATGGGGCTTTTTGCTCAGACACAGAGATGCTGCACGTGAGGGTTACGCTCTCAGGCTGCACGTGAGGGTTACGCTCTCAGGCTGCACTGGCTGATTGCATTTGCACTTAACACAGCGATGGTGCTTGTGCTCCCGTTATTGCGTTGCAGACGCAGCGTGATTGTGGAGCGGGCTGTATTGCACGTCGTCGTGCACTGGCTTTGCATTTATTTATCGGGCACGTGCATTAGCCGCTGCATTCAATGCATGGCGCGCGCCCGGGCATGGTGCAACAGCTGCTGCACCGACGGCTCCGCACAGCCGGTTGGCGTTGGCGCCTCACACCCGGCCCGGCGGCAGCTGCTGCACTGCGCGCGCAGACCACCGCCCATCGCTACCTTGGACGCGCAAAATAAAACACAAAGTGGCCGGGCCTCTGGCTGCTTTTGCAAAAGGGGCCGCGAGTGGCTGGACGTGCCGGGGGCGGGGGGGGGTGTCCCTGTTGCATTGACACCTCCCCTTCAGCCGCTTTGCTGCGGCTGGCGGCTTCCTCCTCCGCCTCCCCTCCCCTCCCCCACTCCCCGGCATTTCCGCCCTCCCCTCCCCCCGCAGTAGCCGCTGGGGGTGGCGGCGCGTTGCACAGGCCGGATGCGGCTGACGGAGTGGGCGGGGGCGGCCCGGGCGCTGAGATCACCGGGGGTATAAAAGCAGCGGCGCTGGGCGCGGCTGGGCTTAGTCGGGGCGGCGGGTCCGAGGCGGCGGCGGAAGGCGGCGGCGGAGCAGCAAAAGGCTCAGCAACAAAAGGCGGCGGAGCAGCGGCGGGGGCGGGAAGACCCAGGCGCAGCCCCTCCCCCTCTCTCTCCCCCCCCTCCCCAGTTCTCCGGTCGGTGCAAAGGGCGCCGGCCGCGCGCACCCGCCAGAGCCGCGCAGCAGCCCCCCGGGCCGGAGCAGGCGCCCCCGCCGCCCGGCATGGAGGTGCAGAAGGAAGCCCAGCGCATCATGACCCTGTCGGTGTGGAAGATGTACAACTCCCGCCTGCAGCGCGGCGGCCTCCGGCTGCACCGGAGCCTGCAGCTCTCGCTGGTCATGCGGAGCGCCCGGGAGGTCTATCTCTCCGCCAAGCTGGAGGAGGACGAGGAGGGGGGACTTGGGCCGCAGCCCTGCCTGGGGGAGGAAGGGGCCGGCCAGCCCCCACTGCCGGCCGCCGCCGCCTCCCCCGGCCCCCAGGCCCCGGAGGAGCGGGCAGCCCCCGCGGACCGTGGAAGCGCCCCGGGCGCCGGCGATCCGGAGCCCATGGAGACGCAGGACAGCAGCGGGGACCTGCCCCAGGCGCCCGCCCCTCTGGCGGCTCCAGCGCCCGGGGCGGGTAGGCGGCCGGCGCGGGGGGTTTCGTTGCCGCCCCCGGGCAAAGCCAGCAGGAAGCGGCGGAGCAGCAGCTTGGACAAGCCGGGGGCGGCCGAGGCCGGGCTGGTGCCCACCAAGAAGGCCCGGCTGGAGGCGGCGGAGGAGGAGGGCGAGCGGCAGCCCCAGGGACAGGACGGCCCCTTCCCCAGCCTGGCCAAAGTCCTGCAGACCCGCTTCTCCGGGATGCTGCGGGGCGGCCCGCCCAAGGGCCCCGAGCCCACGCCGGGCTGCCGGCCCGGGGACGGGGTGCTCAGCATACTGGTCCGAGCCGTGGTGGCCTTTTAAATCCCTTCCCCGCCGCTTGGGGGGACTCGTGGCTGGGGGACCTGCCCCGCGGCGCGCAGCGGCTCGCTCGGCTCCTGGCGGGAGCCATGGGGCGGGGGGGTCGCTTTTGGGGGCGCAGCCCCCCTCTCCCTGGCGGAGGGGGGGCGGGGAGCCGGCCGGGAGAGAGGCACACGAAGGCCGGGGAGGACAGCGGAAGAAGGATCGGACTTTCCCCCCCACGCACGTCCCTCCCCACCCTGCTGGGTCCAGGGGGGAGGCGAGACAAAAGGACCGAGAGACGCCGCCGCTTTGTGTGCGTGGGAGCGGGGGGGCTCTGGCCCAAGTTCACGATGGGGAAGAGAGACTCGCAGACCGGGCCGAGCTTCTCCTGCCTGCTCCTCACTGACAGATGGTTTATTTTTGTGTAGAGACGTGCTATATGCGGACTTGGGGTCAATTGGTGCTATCCCATAACCCCCACCCCGGGGGGCGGGGGTTGGGGTGTTTGGTTTTTGTTTTTTTTTGGTAACTTGAAACTTTTTGGCCTATTCTCCTCCGTCTTGTTCTGTGTCCTTGTGATCGCAGCATGGTTGCTGGGGGGGGGCGACGGGGGGGGCTGCAGACCTGGTGGCCAGATGTGAGATAAAGGGGTTTAAAAGAGAGCGAACAGTGCTGAGAAATATTCAAGAAAGGGATCTGTTGCCTCAAGAGGGAGGGAAGGCTGGGTTTCTCCCGCCTGCCTCCTAGACTTCGTTCTCCAGCACCCCCAGAAAGTGGGGGGATGGTGGAAGATGGGTGTCCTACTTACTAGATTTCTTTCCTCAGGGGTACTTTTTAAAAAAGTGTGTTTTTGTGTGTGTTTTTGTTTTTCAAGAGGCCTTTTTTCTTTTAACCAACTAAAAGCTCTCAAAGCAGGATTCAGTAAGGAAACTTCCCCCACTTCCAGCCAGGCCTACAAGTTGACACACCACTCATATGACCAGTCATTGCATCACACTGGGTCTAGAAAGGCAGCGGGGAATTTCCTGTTCAGACCGCTGGTAGATTTTTGTGTGTGTGTGTGGAGCTGGTTTTTCAAGGTGTGGGTGGGGTGTGTGTCAGCTTGACTCATTTAACCCTGTAAAGGGGAACTGAGACAAGGCTGCCTTCTGCTGCTTGCTCTTAAAAATCAAATAAAAGCTTAAAAATAATTTAAAAAAACCCTATGAAAATCATAGACTCCAGAGGTATTTTATTTCCTCTTCCACCTGGGGGTGGTGGAGGGAAGTTTCCTTTACTCAGAGTTTTGAGTTATTTGAACTAATCTGTGTAAGATATGATTATTAAAATTCTTGGTCTGAAATGCTGAAGATCGAAAGAGAAGAGCGTGTTTGAGAAGGGCAGAAATCCTGGTGACCCACCGCCACCCTGGAATCTTCAAAGGGAAATTGTCACGTGTTCAAATCCCATTGTAAAACCCTGAGAATTGGCCATCTTTCTGTTGTCATGGCTGGTGGGGCTAAGATCCCTCCCCACGCCACTGTCTTGTTTAAAAGCAGATGCCCCTCAAGTTCTCTTCGAGTCTAAGGAGAGGAGGGGCCGATCAGTCTGTGTTTGTGAATGTCATGATGGCTTTACGTGTATGTGTGAACAAAAATCATTCTTTGGTTCCTGAGTTTGCTAGTTGCCTGCAGAGGAAACTAGCGAATGGATTAAACAAATGGGGGGAAAACCCTACACAGTTGAGACATTTCTTTTTAAATGTTACCCATGTGTCTTGAATACTTGTAATTTATATCTATAGTTCCCCCTTTTTTTATTGTCTTGGGGGGGGAAAACGGCATGGACTGGGGTTTCCTCCTCTTGTGTCCTTAATTTTTTTTTGTTAAATAAAATCCATTTGTGAAACTGGCGAAGTTGTGGCGCTCTGAATTTGTCATGAAAATGGGAAATGGGTGGTTTTTTGTGTGCTTTGTGTAAAGGCCTGGCTAAATTTAGTGGCATGCGTTTTTCTTTTCTTTTGGTTTGGCCTGTTCCAGGCTGGACAGATGCAGCTGCCACTGTTGTCAGGCCTTGAGCAAAAACTAGATGGGCTCCTAACCCCTCGTGGATGAGGCTGGCTGTGAATTCTGTTGTACAGTAGGACTCTGGTGCTGTACACAGTAGAGGATCCAGTGTGGAAGGAGGCTGATTCATTCCATTGGCTCAGCCAGCATCCACCCACTTCTCTCCCTCCCCCTGAGTCTGGGCCTCTATATCCCTTTGTGATCTTCCCCCCACCTTGGGTGACCCCATGCCAGGGCGACGGAAATACCGAGTTGCATAACAGTGCCCTTGGGTTGTGGTGGGAGTGTAAACAGGAGAGGTTTAAATGGCCTAGTAACTGCAGACTTGTAACTGGTTAGAAATACTCCCTTATAAACATGGGCATCTTGCCAGCTAGGGGGCAGTTAAAACTGTTCAGGTTGTGGGAGGGGTTGGTTCTGTGTTCTCTTAAACAGCTGGCATGACTTCCGTGGAGGTAGATGAGCGAGCTGGGCATGGCTGCGAGGGGATTATAGCTGGCGAGATAAAATGGATCTTTTATTGGCCTGGCACAAGAGAGGTGGGCTCGAAGCACATCTGCTGGAGGCAGGTGTAATCCCTGTGAGCTGGGAGCCGGCCTCTGGACTTGCTGTGATCCCCCTGCAAAATAATCAAGCTATATAGAAAGGGGGGGGAGGGCGCTAGAGATCCTGCAGCTGTGGTGGGGGATTGGGACATGCCCTTGCTAGATGGGAGATAGGGTTGTGGAAGGGGGGGGATGTCACAGGACTGGGGATAGGTTCACAGTTGCTCCTGGTCGGGCATTGAAAGGGTAACCTGTGTCCTGGTGATCCAGCCTGGGCTGGGGCACAAATGAGGGAACGATGGATCCCTGGACTTTAAAGCACTGTTGGCTGGTAACCTGAGCTAGGCCTGTGGGGGTTTCTTTTATTATTTCCCCAGTGTTAAAGGGGTGAGGACTTCGTGTATTGTCTCCCAGGCCCTCCCTGGAACCGCTCACCCCAGCCACTGGTGACCAGATCAGTTCCTCGGCCGTGGTTAAAGCCAGGCTGGGGGTGCGTTGAGCTTCTGGAATTCTGCTCTGCGTGATCCAGCCTGCGGCAAGGCGAACCTCAGTTTCGCATCCACTCATTGCCCGCCCCTCACGAAGCCAGGCAGGTTGATTCCCACTGCCCCCCAAAAGCCCTGTGTAAAGGACCCTGTCAAACAAAGTTAATGCATCTGGGCTGGATTTACACTGGTGCAGGATTTTTACAGCCGATGTGTGTATCCGTGACCCCCCTAAGGGCTGCGTGTGTGTTCCCGTCGAGTGTTCAGCCGTAGCCTTCCGCGCTGGGAGTCTCCATAGCTCGTGCAGCCTGTGCCCTTCCTAGCCCTGTGAAAATCAAAGGTGTTCAGTACAGACGGGTCCATGTCGCAGCTACCCAGTGCTGCGTTTCCTTGTTTCTATTGTAGCTGTTTCCGGCAGCCCTGTTGTTGTGGGTGCTGTACAAACACGTGTGCCTGAGCGCTCACATAGACGAGTGGCAGAAGGAGGGGAAACTGAGGCACTGAGCAGGGGTGGGATTTGCCTGAGGTCACTGGTGGAGCTGGGGAGAGAACCCAGGCATCCAGCCTTCTTGCTACTTCCAGGCTGGGCTGTATTTCCCAACAGTTGCCTAGCTGTGAGGAAGCCCCAGCCTCATGTGCTTTGAGCCTCATGGTGCCATGTTTGCACTTGTTTGAAGTGAGTAAAACGCGTCTCGGTCAGTTTCTACCTTCGGTCCGCCATAGGCAGGGCAGGGCTAGCCCCAGTGTGCAGATGGGAAACCAAGGCACGGAGAGGCTAAATGACTTGCCCAAGGTCACATGGTAATCATGAGGCAGAGTAGGGAATTGAACCCATGTCCTAGGCTTATGCTTAACCACTGGGCTGCCCTGCCTCTCTTTGCATAGGTGAAGTTCGAATAAATGAAATGCCGGGGCGGGCGTTGCCACCCTTTAACAAGTATCTTATCCATGTATTTTTTTTTCAACAGAATAAAGCCCCCATGGTTGATATTGTAGCCAGCTTAAAGAGCTGGCTACTGTGTCTGTGCAGCTCCTCCCTAGTGGCTGGAGTCTGAACTTTTCATTGGTGTGTCATAGTCCCTGTAGTGCAAACACTGAGTGGGGAGTCTCCTGGCGCTCAAGCAAGAAGGGGGCCTGGGTGCAGGAGGATATGAGTTTTGTTCCCAGCTGCTGCTGTGAAATCCGGTGTGTGGCAGGAGTGAGGATAGCTGTCCTACTTGGAGGTTCATGCTGATCTTTAAAACTGGGGGTTGAAAGCAGCCAAAATCTATGGTTTGCCCATTGCTTCCCGTGGCGCAGTGTGAACGCTGTCGCTTTACATTGGCGGGGGTTCTCCTAGGCCTGGTTGCAGGAGCTCTGTAGGGACGTGAGTGATCTGGGCCAAGCAGCCAGGTTCGAGTACGATGGGGTAAATTGCATTTCTCTGCCTTAGGGAGCAGCCTGCATTTGTCTCTCTCTGGTTTTGGGTAGAATCATAGAATCATAGAATATCAGGGTTGGAAGGGACCTCAGGAGGTCACCTAGTCCAACCCCCTGCTCAAAGCAGGACCAATCCCCAATTAAATCCTTGCTTGTTCTCAGTCTGGAGTCTAAGAATAAAAGTTGTGAGATGTCACAACCTTCCCACAAGAGTATTTTGGGGTTTTCATCTAGCTTTTGTGTGCATATGTCATGATCATATGAGGAACACCCCCGCCTCAGCTCAGCCTGCCCCCCTTTTTAGACGGCAGCTCCCTGCATGATGGGAAATGCCATGGGCGCGCTCAGAGGAGGTTTGTGGCAGGAAGGGAAAGGACGACTGGGCAGGAAACAGAGCAGCAGAGAGATGGTGGGGAAGCAGCTGCAGTGGGACAGGATAGAGCTGTGGGCTGCCTGGGGGCGGGGGGGAGTGTCTGGCAGAATCCAGCACCCCTCACCCCCATGCAGCTGCAGCAGGACCTGACAAGGGGGTGGTTTTGGCAGAATCCAGCCCTCCTGCCCTCGGTGCAGTGGTATTAGAGAACGACTTCCTTCCTAGCAGCCGCCCATCAGAGACAGGATGCTGGGGCGGATGGGCCCATTCTGCTTCGCCGGTTCCCAGGCCACAGGCGAGGTTCCGGTGTTCTCACGGGGGCCGGGCACCCTCGGGCGCCCATGAGCCGTGGGGGGGGGGGGGGAGCGCACACAGGCCCAGTGGCAGGGCCAAGAGGGTGATAGTTGTTGATCCTGGTTATTGCTGCCCTGCCTTGGGCTGCAGTGCTGGACAAATACTGCTGCTCTAACAGCAGGGCCCTAGGGAACTGCCACCCAGGGAGGCAGTGGGTTGTAATGGTTAGAGCAGTGGGGCTGGGTGTCAGGACCCCTGGGTTCTATCCCCAGCTCTGGGAGGGGAGCTGGGTTCAGTGATTAAAGCGGGGGGGGCTGGGTGTCAGGACCCCTGGGTTCTATCCCCAGCTCTGGGAGGGCAGTGGGGGCTAGTGGATTAGAGACCCAAAAGAGTTTATGGTCAAAGAGCTTCAAGGCTTGACGTGCAGCCTCTAGAGTGTGATTCCCATGGGATGGGACTTGCACAATTCCCCCTCCCCCCCCCCACATGCAGGGCTATCTTTGTTCCAACAGGTGAGGAAACTGAGGCACAGAGAGCCAGAGTGGCTTACCCAGCAAGTCATTCCAACTACTAGACTCACTCCTCTCCCAGAGCTTGGGTAGATCCCAGGAGTCCTGACTCCCAGCCTCCCTGTTCTGCCCACTAGACCCCACTCCCCTCCTACACCCAGGCACAGACCGCAGGAGTCCTGACCCCATCACCTGCTCTAACCACCAGACTACGCTGCCTCCCTGGGAGGCGGTTCCTGGTGGCGCTAAGTGGGTCTGAGGCGTGCCGTGTAATTGCCCAGCCTGGGTCTCTGTAATAAGTCTGTCTGGCCCCTCCCTGCCCATGGTCTGAGGTGTGCAGGGAACGTGGGAGTCCTGCACACCCCAGGAATGTGGGGAGGACACGGAGGGGCCCAGGGAGGAGACGGAAATCTCCTGGATGGAGACGCCCTGTGCATGTACCTACACGTGCTCATGCAGCTTTCCACTTGGGGTTGGGGCTCAGGACGCCGGGGTTCTCTCTCTGGCTGGATCAGGGGTGAGGTGGGGGCAGGGGTGTGTGTGTAAATTGTGTTTCTATGTTGTCGAATTCTAGCGTTTGTGTGTTTGTGGGTGTGCACACACACACATACACGCTCTCTCTCCCCCCACCCGCCCTGGGAGTCGGGGGGAGGGGGGCTGTGATGCCTCTCCCAGGTGAGGGATTCTGTCCCAGGCCAGGTGGGGGATTCTCTTCCCTGGCGAGGGGAAGGGAGATGAGTCCTCTCCTGGGGGGCAAAGGGAGGGGTGCATTACGGGGGGGGGGGCTGGCCCCCATGCAGGCTCCCCCCCCAGCTCAGCCCTGGCTGCACATGGGCTGACATGCCCGCGGCTCAGGGAGGTGGCCTGGGAAAATGGCAAGCCGCTCCCGGCCACTCATGTCCCCCGCCCAGGGCGGTGGCTCCAACGCCGGGTGCGGCGCCAGGCTGGGGCGTGGGGGCCACTGGCATGTGCCCCAAAGGGCTTTGTAAGGATTTCCTGGAGGGGCACAGGGGGCTCCAGGCGAGTCTCCCCCGTGCAGAGGTTTGAAGGGTATTTTATGGGGGGGGGGTATGGAGGGTACATGATGTAGTGATAGGGGGCAGGCAGGGGCACGTGTGGGGAGGTGGGACAGTTGTATATAAGGCAGAGCCTGTTTGGGGGAAGGCAGGTACTATTTTTTGAGGGCAGAGGGGCTGGGAGCCAGGACTCCTGGGTTCTATG